TTTCGAGAGTTGCTGGAAGGGGAACCTACTAACAATATAGACCTGGAATACCGAAAAAAGAAACTCGTGGAACCCCCCTCGGTAGATGAAGTGAAAATATCTATAGAAAAACTAAGGAACCACAGGATCCCAGGTAGCGAGTTATTTAAGCACGGTAGAGAGCAGCTCACCAAGGTGATGCGAGAAATTGTTTGTAAAATTTGGTCTGAGGAGCAAGTGCCTGAAGAATGAAGCTTAGGCTTAATTTGCCCGTTACACAAAAAGAGAAACCAACTGGAATGCAATAATTACCGCGGAATAACTCTCCTAAATACAACATACAAGATATTGTCAAATATTTTGCACGAGAGATTAAAGTCTTATACTGAAATGTTTCTAGGAGAATTACTTTTCTCCTTCACAGTTTCTTTAATCTTATCCCTCTAATCCATTATTTCCCAGTTTCGTATCATATACAAATAAACTGCATGCCTTATTTAGATTACTATTAATAGAATCTGTTGCACTCAATTTGACACAGCTACTTGATGACAACTCTCTATGTAGCTATTTCAGGCCACTTGGACCTTTGATCCTATTTTTTGGTGAATGCGCATTTTTTGGTAAGCTTGTGTATTATGTCATGTTATATGCCATATTTCACGTATTACGTCAGGTTTTAAGTTACATCTCACCTATTATATCACGTTTTATGACACATGTTACATATTACGTCACGTTTTACGTCACGTCACGCGTTATGTCACGTTTTATGTCACGTATTATGTCACATTTTATGATACGTTTTATATCAAATGTCAAAGTGTCCTAAAGTGGCTACCTATCTACTACTACCATTGGACTGTAGTTGAAAATTCCCTTCTTAAGATCTACATATATCTCTTATTCGTTTTAACCTAGATTATGGTTTTAACATATAGATCTCTGCTTTTAAAACACATCTTAATCTTTTAAATTCGATAAATAGCACAGCTTCCTTTATCTGGATTAAACCCTCCTTTGGATTAAACAAAATAACTATTTTTCTTTTACGCAATATCTATTTCTTCCTTTTCCTCTATTATATCCTCCTTTTGTGTCATTTTTTTATTTAATTAGATGCCTTTGGTAAAGACCAATTAGCCAGACGATTTTTTTGTGTCATAAAAAAATAAACTGCATGACACCTCTAAATTACCATTACCAGACCAAGATAAATAAGAAGAAATAATTAATATTTGGATATATCTACCTTGTCAGTCGCTGATTCAGATTTAAATCCGAAAAATCCAACGAATGTCTCCAAAATACTTCCCATTTTTAGTAGGAACGTATTCCAACGCCATAGTACTTGGCATTTATTTCATCAGAGCTTTAGCAAGCTTTTGCTGAAAATTTTAGTTGTTTTCACATTTCTATAGCCCACAGGAACAGAAAACGATTTTACTTAATCGTTTTCGTACCTAGTCGTCAAAGCAGATGCCACCTCTCTATGCAAACCAATGAAAGTGTGAAGGAATTTAAAGACATTAGTTCTGACCGAAATTGGAGTTGACTATTACTAAAATAACATAAGCTTCTTTAATTATCCAAAGCACAATACTCACAAAAAAATGAAGCTGCAAGCTTTTTAGCACTACTTAATCAACACAATGTTATAAAATGTACATTAATATTTTAAAAGTAAACTAATTTTTGTTTTCACAGATACTGTTACAAATACTTAAACCCTAAATATATATATGGTATAGATAATTTTTTTATAATTGGAATGTTTTTTTTTGTGTAAAATTATCCTATAATCATTATGCAAATAAAAACAAACTTTACGAATAAAGACAAAGACTATCCCTAAATTTTCCATCGCCAAAAGTTGTCGAACAAATTGAAATCCACATAAAATGTTCCTATCGGCACTCACAGATTTTACATACTCATTAAATTCCAGGCCACACATGGCCATTCAAAGGCAAATGCAGGATTCCTTTTACAAACAAGCAGCGGCTGCTGTCCGCTGTTCCTTCGAAATTAAATATCGGAGTTATTAAGGCTCTGTATGATATGGTAAAATAAAATGCTCGTCGAGTAAATAAGTACTAATATGAAAAGATTATGTAAAAAATTTTAATTTTTCTCTTTGATGGGATTTATATGAGACAAACAAACGGTTTCTGCTTTTATTTGTATATCTTATACATGACATAAAATATCAAACTCACTTAACAGTATTATCCTTTGGGATTTTTTAGTAATTACTTTAATGGTTTTAATAATTTTTTTTTAATCATTTTATTTTAGTCTCTGTCAATGATATGTACAGAAAGTTGTCTAATATCGAAAAAAGCATTTATTGAGAGCGTATAAATTTAGTGACAGATTTTTAAAACAGCGATTATGGAAGCTTGTCCTTCTGTAAGTTCCGTCTCTTCATTGAAGTTAAAAATCTATAATGGAAATTAATCTAACTTTATTTATTCAGGAAGCTAATAAAACAGTTCAATTGAAACTATTGTTACTGGGAATAAGGCCCATATTTACTTTTAGATAAGTTTATTTTGACGGTTCCATTTTCATTTCGGTGATAGTTCTTAAAATACAAAAAAACACTATTTTTTTCTTTCAATGGCCCTTGATTCTCTACTTCTGGACATGGTACCACTTCTTCTTTGCGTGCCTTATCAGGATTATCTGACGTTGGTGATCACCATAGCGAAGGCTTCTTGGTCTTCTGCAATATGAAATATTTGTCCTGCATTTGATTCCAGTCACGAATGATTTTAACAAAGAAACTTGTTTTCTTTTTACCCCTATACGGCCCTCTATTTTGCCTTGCATTATCAGTTGCAATATTTTATATATACCTACCCTTACTATATGCCCCAGATAATACATTTTTCGATGTTTTGAGATTTTGCAGTCTTTAGCAGTTCTCTATCTTTTTTGATGCTCCTTAGTATTTCTTCATTGGTTTTCCTTGCTGTCCAATGTATCTTCAGCATTCGTCTATGAGTTCACATTTCTAATGCTTCAATTTTGTTCATGATCGATACTTTTAGCGTCCACACTTCTGCACCATACAAAAGTACAGACCAAACATACCACTTAACCATTCTTTGTCTTAGTTCTAAACTGCTTAGGCTATTGCAAAGAAATGACTTCATTTTTATAGAAGTAGTTTTAGTCATTGCTATTCTACGTTTTATTTTTATGTCTGGATCTAGTTGGTCCATTATTACAGTTCACAAATATGTCATTTTGTAAACTTTCTCAATTTGGACTCCGTTTAATTGAAGCTTTGCATTGGGATGTGGGTCACGACTAAACACTAAAAATTTGGTTTTGTTATTTTTCTTGAGTTTATTTTAATTCCTATTTTCTCTCCTACCTCCTGAATATAATCAAGCAGAATTATATAATAATATATAAAGTTGCAAAAGACAGAGACACTTTTAGAAATGTGGTTGTCAACCTCCGTTAATGGGGATGGCATAGGAAGAAGAAGTTGCTTTATTAGAAAAAACGCCGTGTAAAATCTTATCAAATCACTCGGTAAAATTCGGTCGATGATTTAATATCCCAACTTCTGGATATTGACGTTTAATATTTCTTTTTTATTTTGACCCTTTTTGTTTCGATCCAATTTGTTCGAAAGTGAAACCGTGATATCTTAGTAGAAATGAAAGTGGACAGAAAAAGTAACAATTTTCTCTCAATCTGATTAAACGCCTTGAGAATAAAGCCATGATTTTCAAGGATTAGTGTCCTTTAAACCGTCTACTAAGTGAATTTTTAGTCCCTAATGCTAGTTTTTCTATAAAGTGGCCAATTTTTATGTACGGTTATATTTTATATTTGATCAAATAGGTAAAAATTTGTAAATTTAGGGTAAAATATATAAAACAAAGTAGTCGAAATGCAGGTCTTTTAAACTTAAAATTATTTAAAAAAAAAGACGTTAGTCTTCGTAAATGGGTATATTTATTTAAAAACCCTTAAAAGGGCCACATCAAAAAAACAAACGTTTTCGGACTAAACAGTCCATCATCAGGTTTAAATTTTAAAATTGCCTAGATTTTGTCCAGGGTGCTATAATATATCACATTTCGATAAATTGTGAGCATTACCATAATATGATTTTATACTAGGACTACATCCTTATGCCGTTGACCTCTACTGAGGTTCCTTCGCCTTTAGTGCCAGTTTCCCAACCCTCGGACAAAAGAGTGCCCTGTCACTTACCAGCTCATCCGCCCGAAGCCGTTGGCCAGTAAGTGGGGGATTGCTTATTCCGGCAATCATTCGGTGAAATAGGTGGGGGGGGGGATATAGGAAAGGAATTTGGGGTTTGGGTAGGATAATATTGGGGTTTGGACCTGGTTTCCTCTAATTATTGAATGGAGGAAAACCATAAATCACATTAATAAAAAAATAAGAGAAAATTTCTTAAGGTGCTCTCAATAACTTAAATTTCCTAACATGAATATAGTTCGTAACCTAAAACCTGGTATTGATCGGTTTGTCAAAAATCTTTTACTGACACGGTATGACTATTTTTATTATAAAACTAAAAGAAGAATAGATTGCCCTTACAAAAATTCTCTACCGATGGGTGTCTTCAGTCCATGTTAGTCGTTTGTACAGGCCAATAAAAATTTGGAATTCTGACTCTGAGTGTAGGTTATAGATACAGAAAATAACTTAAAATTTTTTTCTGTTGTGGCTGTTAAGAAACCAAAATTTTTTCTAAATTACTAGATTTTACTAGATTTTTCTGATATCAAGTATGTTTTACACACAAATAATATACAGTATACTCTTTAAAATTCAAAAATAATTGTCAATTGATAAATAGTTAAATTTAGCCTTCATAACAGGAAAACTGATATTAAGTAACACATAATCGAAGAAATCTTTAGTATCACAATTTAAACAAACGATAAGTTTTTACCACTAGTTTATAAAATTAGTAGTTCCTATAAAAAGTACATAGAAAACGTGTCGATTTAGATGTAATCACAAAAATGAAATTAAAATTAGTCTTCTTAGTTTTAACTATTCTAGTGATAAACTTAAGTGACGCCAAGCCAAAAGTGAAAAGGGATATTGAAATAAATCCCGAAGATATAAAACTTAGTGAATCTTTTCCTCCTAATGATAAAAAGTGGTCTTGGTACCTTAATAGAAGAGGGAAAGATTCTCAACGAAGTGAAGAATCTGAAGAATTGTATAAGGACTTGACCGTGGATATTGAACCAAGAAGTGTGAAAAGTGATGAAGAAATTACAAAATATCATTCCAAAAATCAAAAGCCTGAATCTGAAGAAGATAATTCAACTAACACACCAAAACATTCTAATGGAAAAGAGCTAGAAAAAAATCAACAAGAAGAATGGAGGTGGTACGTAAAAGCCAAACCTAATGACATATACAAGACAGATGCAAGCTTGGAGATTGTATCCTGGTATCTTAAACAAAGAGGTCGCACAATATCCCCAAAACGATTAAGATCGTCAGATCATACAGCGCAATATGATATCGTTTCTTCTACTACAAACTTAAATGGAAAAACATCCGAATCTAGCACAGGTTTGACTAAGTCAAATATAACTAATAATTCCACAGAGACTAACAATCCCTCTACTATTGGTTTCAAGTCCCAAACAACTAGTAATATTTTAGAAATAAAAGAAAATACGACAGTTACTATCACTACAAATAGCTCCGTAGACCATAAAACACAAAGAATCACAAATAAAACTGAAATTTTAAGGTTAACTACTACTGGTATTCAAGAACATACCAAAGTAGCAACATCGGAATCTACGAATATTAATACACAAGCCTCAAACAAGAAAACTGCAACAAAAATCACCTCAATGAAACAAGAAACAGCGAAGGAAGACCAAACAACCTTAAAAGTAACTACAACCACAAAGCCTGCTACAAAAGAATCCACATTAACAACAGTTGCAACGGAAGCTACAACCATAAGCCCTTCTATAAAAAAATCCACGCCAATAATGGTTATTGGAACAGAAATTACGAAAGTAAAGCCTTCTACAACAGCAGTACCAACAGAAACTACGACACCAACTGCTGTTAAAACAGAATCTAAAACAACAGAAGCTGCAACTACAACAACAACAGAAGCTGCAACAACAACAATAGCACCAGCTGAAACAGAAGCTACAACTAAAGCTGTTACAGAAGAAGCTACAATAACAACAACGGCTGAAACAACAGAAGCTACAACAGCAACACCAGCTGCTACAACAGAAGCTGCAACAATACAGTCTACAACAAAAGTCGAAAAACGCCAGGTAATTGATTTATATAAGCGAAGTTTTGATGAACTTTCAAAGAATAACTCTCTAGTGGATTCAGCAAAAAGAAACCGCCAGGATGTTGGTACAAAGGTAACAACTTTGTCTTCAAATATTGATGAAGATATTAAAGATTTAGGTTTACCATCTGCAGTAGATGAAACAAGTTCTGATATAAGAAAAAAAGTGAGATCGTATGTTGATGACACTGACACATTACTACTTGTCAATGTGGTGAGTAATTAAATTATATATGTATATTATTAAATTTGCTATGTATGAAACCGTCTATTAGTTAAAAAATAATTATTTAATGTAAAAGTTACATAATTTTCATTCATTGCAGTATCAATATCTTTGATATTGCCCACTTCTCCATAAACTCTATTGAGATGAATGCACTTCAGTATCTTTCTAAGTGATCGGACTGTTATCGTCTTTTTTTTACATGTCCAATCCACTTTAACTGTCTTTTTTTCTCTTGTTATAACAAAAAATAAACAAAAAATCCAAAAAATAATTAAAAAAAAAAAATAAACGAAATTTTTTGTCGAAAAAAGCGTATAACGTTTTTTTGGAGGTGGCTGGCTAAAGGTTCAATTTTTTTTTCATTTTGTTTATTTGATCAAAAATTATATCTAATTTTGTTAAGATATTTTGTATGATGCGACATCTTTAAAAAATGTAAAAGCTGTTTGTAAGGGGGTTTGAAGGATTTTTTTTTCATTTTATTGACTTTAAAATAGATCAAAATCAGGGTTTTTTTATGGTTTGTATATATTCTAAATTAGGTGAGTCCATTAGAATATTAAACAATTGGGTAAACAACTGTTAAACCACCCAAAAAACCATGTTTTCACGGTTTTTGTGGATTTTGTATGGATTAAATATATTTTTTGACATTGACAGGATTAAATATATTTTTTGACATTGACACAACCTGAATCAATTTTCTTATATTTTTACTTTTTAGGCGATTTAAAAAATAAGACTTGGTACATTTTTTTACGTTTGTAGACTCTTAGGTTGAGTATACATAACCTATAAATGCATTTTTTTTTCATTTTTTTTTTCATTTTGTGTGTTTGATCAATGACTCTGTATCTCGGAAGAAAACAACACTGTTCATTTTCATAATTTTACAGTAGAGCAGTTTTAAACTTTCTTTCAACCAGAAAAAGGTGTTATTTCTGCAGATATTTATTTAACTGTTGAAACAATATTTATGCATTTATAATAAAAATGTTCCTGCCTGTTAATGGAGATGGTGTTGTATCCCTCTAATAAAGTTATTGATCTGTAAGACCTAGTGTGGGATCAATTACAACTACAACACTATTTAACTTTACTTTATTTAACCATACCGAATAACAATCCATGTATTTAACATATCTATGTATTTAAGTAAAATGGTATTTTAGGTACAAACCACTTATTCATCCTCAAATAAGTCTTTTTTTTGGCTACTGACCATTGATATTAGTAGTATCCTTCAAGTTTTTATAAAAATCATGGCAAAATATAAAAAAATATGGCAGAAATATTAATAGATCATTAGACTTTTGTCGTGATATAGGTATTGGACTTTGTGATACCAGTTGTAAATCTTTTGGCAATTTAATGTCAATCTCCTGGTTTTTATCATGAAAATTACTTTTCAAAAACAGAGTTCCCATGCTGTTTTGTTTTTCTTGTAGTTGAACACAGTTTGACAGAAGAACTTGCTGTTTGTTGATATCGCTTTTTCTATTAAAATAAAAGGCGAATTTTGAGATAATTTGACATCGTACAAATACCCAAAATTTTTAAAATCTTCTAGTTTCATATTATGTATGGTATATTTCATTCAGGTTTGTCTGACTAACTGCTGCGAGTCCCAGGGCGTTAAAATAGACATATTATCAATTTTTCATCTCTTTCGATCTATCAGCGCATGAACAGTGTCATCCTATATGTGTGTGTGACCCTTTAGTAGAAACTTCTGAGTGATGATTTTTACTTGAGGAAACTGATTGAATATCCAAAAGAAACACATAATGCTCATATTTTAATTCTGGCCGTAACAATTTTCCGACCATAGTATGATTGCTTCTATCTCACCACTAGGAATAACGGTACTGACCATTTCAATAATGCAGATCTGATTTTATTTTTACCACGAGCTCCTTTGGATTCATCTCGCATAATGCAATGGACTGATAAATCAGGAAAATCAGACAGGTAATTTAGTGTACAAAGTTTTGTCTTGTAAAATCTTGTGCAATTTGTTAAAAGTTGTGATTGCAAACATTTTTTGCAGATCACCAGTTTGCAGATCAATGGCATTATTACCCTTTTTGGTGTCCTCGCTTTTTAAATCATGCCTTAATTAAGATTCATTTAAATATGCATTAGGTCTTCTTCCACAGATCTTTTTTATCTGAAGTCAAATTATTTTTTAGTTTTGCTTGAAATATGTGTCTATTTCTTTTGGTTTAAAAGTCAACGTAAATGTTTGTATATTATTTGATTTTGAATATAATATTGATTGTAAAAGATTTGATAGTACTTTTATTACTAAGGTTCGTATCAAAGTACCTACTACATTAACTTTTTGAAGTTATGTGTTTCAATAATTAAAAAATAATATGAGAAAAATTATTATGATTGAAAATGAATTATGAGAAGAACAACTTACCCAAAGATTAGACAGTGATGATAAAGATATAGACGAAATAGACAACATACTTACAGCAACAATGATTACATCAGGAAAAGAAATAGCAAAGAAGGATCTAAAAAAGAACAACTATATATCAACAGAAACAAAGAAGCTTATGGATAAAAGAAGAAAACTGAACGAAGAAGGGAAAAAGGAAATCTATAGAATATGTAGAAATTAATAAAACAATAAGCAGAATGATAAAAGAAAATAAGAGAAAAAAAAATTAAAATAGAAGAAGTAATACAAAACAACAAAAATATGAAATGCTTAAGGCCGAAATTAGGTAAGTTTAAAATAAACAAAATAAAAGATGTAAATGGAATAGAAACAAACGTTAAAGATGACATCATAAATATAATCCACCATTTCTACTCAGAATTATATAAAACAAAAAAGGAACCACCAGAAGAAATTAAAAACCAACTTAAGGTCAAAATAAAAAATGTCAACTCAAAACTGCAGCGCGAAATAAGCAAATCAGAAATAAAGAAGGAATTGAAAGAAATGAAAAACAACAAATCGCCTGGAAAAGATGGAATAACTGCAGAGATGCTAAAATATGGTGGAAAAGTGGTAATTAATACCCTACATTCCCTTTTTAACAAGATATTAAAAGAAAAAAGAATTCCAAACAACTGGAAGGAATCAGTAACCATTATCCTACACAAGAAAGGGGATAAAGCAGATATAAAAAACTACCGTCCTATAACACTCCTCAATGTAATGTATAAACTCCTAACAAAAATTTTAAACAATAGATTGACGACAAAATTCGATGGATACCAGTCGAAAGAACAAGCTGGTTTTAGAAAGGGATTCAGCACAAGTGACCATTTACTAAGTATGAAAATAGAACTAGTAAATGAATACCACATTCCTCTATATATGGCGTTCATAGATTTCGAAATGGCTTTCGACAGTGTCGAACATTGGGCAGTGAAAAGTTTTTTGATTAACAGCCGAATTGACCACAGATATACGGAACTAATAACCAATCTATATATATATATATATATATATATATATATATATATATATATATATATATATATATATATATATATATAAGGAAGCCAAAACAACAATTAAAGTATATGAAGGAACAAAATCATTACAAATAAGTAGAGGCGTGAGACAGGGTGATACAATATCACCGAAACTTTTCAGTCAGGCTCTTGAAGATACTTTTAAAAGATTAGAATGGAAAAAAAGATATAAAAATTTGTGGATTTGTGGACAACGCTTGAACCATCTAGGGTACGATGATGACATCGTATTGATAACCGATAAAAAAGAATAATTATTTGAAATGATCAAAGAACTGGACGTAGAAGCTGGAAAGATAGGCATTAATATGAATTACAGCAAGACCAAAACTATAACAAATACAGATGAAGACATCACAATGAGAATCGGACAAGATGAAATAGAACAAGTTAAGGATTATATATATATCTTGGTCAAACTATAAAACTTAACAAAGAGAACTAAACAGCAGAGATCAAAAAACGAGTTAGACTGGCATGGGCGGCATTTGGAAAACTAAGCTACATTCTTAAAAACAAAAGATATCCACAGCATCTTAAGACCAAAGTATATAATCAATGCCTACTCCCTGTTCCTACTTATGGTTCCCAAACGTGGACATCTACAAAAGCAAACATGGACAAAATCATAAAAACCCAAAGCGCAATGGAAATACGTTTCACATAAGACTAATGGATAAGAAGAGAAACGATAGAATAAGAGAGAAAACAAAAGTGAGGGATTTTAGACAAGAAGTTGCAAAATTGAAATGGAGATTTGCCGGACACAATATAAGACAAAAAGAAGACCGATGGAACAAAATTCTTATAAGTTGGAGACCGTGGGAATATAAACGAAGCAGAGGAAGGCCCCAAATGAGATGGGCAGATGATATCAAGAAGCACGTGGGCTCTAGATGGATGACTGTAGTGACAGACAGAGAAGAATGGAAAAGGATTGGGGACGCCTATGTCCAAAGATGGACCGAAGAAAGCTAATTAGATAGATAGATAGATGAGAATAATAAATTCAGTATAGAAGAATTCGTAAAAGAACTTTTCAGTAGTTCAAGAATCTTTCTCCCACGAAAATTGTGGTACATTGTTATTATTATTAGTAACAAACAACTTTAAACACACCATAAATGGCAAAAGTACCTGTCTTCACAGAGATATGCAACACTATGTGCGGCTATAATTTACATGTGTAGAGGGATAAAACATCAAGTCTACATGGTGTTCTATCCCTCTAAGTAAAAATTGACTTGGTGGTATTTTAAAGGTCACTGTCAATCTCCATTAGCAAATAATGGTTTAGGACCTAGTGTACTATTTTTCTAAATAAAGTGATCAAAATTGAAAAAAAAAAAAAATACTAAAAACCGATTTTTCAAAATAAGGCCCCTAATAGAAAAAATTAGAACAAATTGTCAGAAGTTTCACATTGGCAATCAATATTCTGTGGATGAGACCTGTGCGTTTACGTTTGACCAGTTAGCAGGTACCTTTAACGAATTGATAGGTGTAGAGAAGGAGTTAGGTGTTGGTCACAGTGTTGTTGTTGCACTGTGTAAAACTATTCCAAATCCAGAACAGACGGTAGTATTTTTCGACAATGATTTTAGCAGCCTTCCATTGCTTGCATTTTTAAAAACTAACTTTGGTATTCAGAGTTTAGGAACATTTAGAGCAGACAGAATTGCCGGTTGTCCATTAAAAGCTGACAAAATTATCCAAAAGCGACCTAGAGGCTCCTATGTCTATAAATCTGACTCTGACAAGGGGATCATTCTTGTAAAATGGTATGATAACAAATGTGTGTTATTAGGTAGTACTCATTGTGGAATCGAGCCTGTAACTCATATAAAGCGATATGATAAACATTCAAAACAAAAAGCTGATGTTCCTTGCCCTGCCATAATAAAACAGTATAACCAACACATGGGAGGTGTAGATAAAGCTAATTCTCTTTTAGGATTATACCGTAGTCCTAGTAGGGCTAGACGATGGTACTATGGTATTTTCACATATCTATTAAATATGTTTAATTAAAAATCCTTTGTAAAAGGTATATATTAAATATATACCTTTTACAAAGGATTTTTAATTAAATTTTTTAATACATGGTATACAGCCAACTACAGGAACGTAGATTCCTTGTGAATATTGGATATGTGTGTTGTCAACGCCTGGCTAGTATATAAACACCATTGTGCTGAGCTAAAAGTAAAACCAATACCTTTAAAAAAATTTAAAATGGACATAGCTGAATCTTTGTACCAAACAGGTAAAATAAAAAAAAAGGGGGCGCCCTTCACTGAACGAAACAGTGGAAAAAATTGTTACACCTACGAAAAGTCGACCACATGACATCACTAGGAAAGACAACGTAGGACATTGGCCTATCTATGGACCAAAAGGAAGATGCCGATTTTGCAAGAATGGTTACACGACAATTATGTGTCAAAAATGTGACATGAGACTATGTTTTACACCGACCAAGAATTGTTTTTTTAGTTATCATAATTCTCCATAAATTTTTATCTTTGTTTTTTCTTGTAACTGTATAAGTATTAAAGTTCATATTTGCTTATTTTTGTAGTTTTTCTTATATATTGTAGTCCCTAAAAAAATATTTTTGTTAGTGGTGATCCCTCGTTTGCACAATACAAAAATTTTAACCTCAAACTGTTACTGTTGCTTTGGAGCAACGTTCTCATTATACCACTAATGGACAATGTTGCTTGAGGCAACATTTTCAAACTCCACTTTTTCTACAAAAATTGCATATACCAACACCGCTGATACGTTAATAGTCGATTAAAAAACACTCACACGAGTTTTTAGAATATTATTTCAATAAATTTAAGGTGTGACGGTTACAGGGTTAAACTCCCCAAGAAACCATGTTTTGCACGGCTTTTAACGGTTTTGCTGGAATTGAATATACTTTTTGACATCAACACAACCTGAATCAATTTTCTGATATTTTTACCTTTATCGTCAATTAAAGTCAGACTTTTTTTTTTCGAAAAAAGCGTATAACTTTTTTTGGGGAGGCTGCAGGTCCGAGTAGCGGTCAAAAAAATTACCTTGAGCCTTATTTTTTAATCACAGAGAACGTAAAAAATAAAAATTTAAATACAAATATTTAAAAATTTAATAAAAATAAAAAATTAAAAAATTTTCATTAATTTTAATGGTCTACTTTTTTCTGATTTTTTTAGTTATTCCGACACGGAAATCGAACAGTAGAAAGGACGCAATACGAGAGGTATCCAAATGATCCCTATAAAGATTTAGATTATTTTCCTACTGGAATTGGTCAACTTACTAAGGTAAATATACTTTAAATCCACTTATCCATGTACAATTTATTTTCTTTATAATAATTTGTATGCCACTTTTAAAACATCATAAATTATCCAATGTGTCAATGGCTCAAATTAAGCTCTACATCATGAAGTGCACAAATTATGGTTTAATTTATTCTTGGAATTCAATTATCATCTGTCATGGGCTCTTGAACTTAACAGAGCACAGATAGTCAAGCAAATTTTGGGTTATATAACGAAGACAAGCTATATTCTAGTGTTGGAATGACGAAAACAAGTCGATAAACTGGAAGAACATAACAGAGTCTATGTACCAGGCCATCGGAGAAGAGTTCTGAACAATACAGCTTTCACTAAGAAAGTACACCAATTCAAGCACATGACCAATTGTATATTCAAAGGACATGCGCGAACAGAACTTACGTACTAAGAAGAACAAGAAGATGTTAACTCAGAATCAGAGCAACGAAGGTGCTATGGGAGAGTTTTTAGTACTTCTTGGCTATCAGAGACAATAAATATTTTGGCCGAATTTTTTGAGCTACTCTGGAACACAAAAATCTTTAGTGTCAAAATTGTTTAGTATTAGGAAAATTAACTCACATTTCTAATACTTCATGTCTTTATAAACTATAACTACTTTACTATGGTGTTAGAAGTGAGGGCTATATAGATTTATTCCACCAAACCACAAAAGTATAAGTAATTAAGGATCTGACAACATATTTTAATTTTATTTTTATATTTTTTGACTCACACTAATCTGTGTTTCTGTGTTCATTTTGTAAAACTATTGCTTGGATGAATTGCCGATTGTATATACGTCTGTATGTATTCTACAATAATGGGACGGCATTTTGGGCAAACGATCTAAAAAGTCTTGCAAAGTTTTAATTTCTTCATCAAATACTTGTAATATTTGTTTTTAATTGTCCACTGGTGTTATTTTCTGCGTGGAAGCGTGGAAGCAATTGGAGGAGGATTATGTCCAACAATGGATAAATGTAGACTAAAGAAGAAGAATATTTTCTGTAGTTTGAACCTTCCAACCCCAAATACATGATTTACTGATGAAAAAAGTGTTTAGGAATAACGTTTTACAGACTAAGATGACAGTTTCGCCTTTTTTTAGATGGTAAATAAAAGTATTAACTCTCTTAGATTCTTCGGGATCTTTTCTATCCCTTTGACTATTTGTATAAATAAATTTTACTAAATTATCCATGTAAAGTCGTTTTTTGTTTTAAGTAAAAGTCCAGAACTGATTAAATAATGTTTTTGATTATTTTCAGACATAATGTCGCACTAGATAACACTATTCTTTTTTTCTTTATAATTATATCATAATTTTTTTGGTTTCTTTATATCTTTTTACCATTTTTCATAAATTTTTTGTTTTCCGCAGTATTCTTTACCCGTTTCCCCATTCTTGTTGTTCCTTTGTCCAACCCATTGGTATTTTTTACTGTTTTTTCTTGTTTTTCTACCGTTCTGGGACCGTTTCTTTCTTTTGATAACAGATTCATGACATTAATAAGGTATCATTTTGGTTAATGCTACATGTAATTGGTTCAATAGGACTAACCGTATTTTCGGTGTTCGCGTCAAATAATGGTTGACTGTAATTTTTTTTATTGTGTGAGTAAACCTTTTCAAGTGTAACATTATCAACTGTCTGCATATTATTATGGACACAACTTTGACTATCAAACATAATACTATCGTTGAAGTATTCAGCGTTAAATATCTTTTTTATACGAGGATGTTCGTTGTCAATACAATCCATGGTGACAAAAAAAAATAGAGGAAGCAGATTGAGAAGAAGTTATCATGCTTATACATGCTACCCAAATTCATTTTGAGTACTCATTTGCAATATTTTTTGAGTGCGTGATTTTAAATCTAAAAAAACCAAACAAATCCATCACCACACCATAAATTTAGTAATAAATACAAGAATGAGCACCAAAATATAAAATACCAAAATATAGATTAAAAAAGTAAAAGTAAATAATTATACGTATATCACCTGCTCTCTCCTAATTGCTGCACTTTTTTTTATTAATGTTATAAAAATCTTTAAGAAAAAATATTTTTAAATCGGTTACGACAGCTTAAAACAAAACATAACATTGGATTACTTCCATCACTAGTGTGAAAACGAAGAAAGCAACTCAGTCAACTAATAGCGAATATTAAATCTTTTCAAACGGGAGATGAGCAAATATATCTAATTACTAAATAAATAAATATTCATACCAAGTATTATTATCGAACTGTCTGTCAATATTTTCTTTCCTTATGGTGTGTTTTAACAATTTTTCTGCCATAAATTGTGGAACGATACCCGTACAAGGTGGCTGGTTTTCGAATACCGATTTACACAGGAACTAGTGATTGTATTGGAGTTGTTGTTTTTGCAAATCATGCGGAATTATTATACTGTGTCCAAAAACTATTTTTGATAAAACGTGAAGTTGGCCGGTTTAAGAATTAAGGTATCGATATATCACTTTCAGTTTTAAACCTCATGTTTTATAATAAATTTTGGGGTACTTTTATGGAACTCTTGTTGATTTAGAGCTCATATTTGAGAGGTTCGAATTTTACTTTAGTTAGTTTTCTGTCACACATAATACCAGGATATTTAAGCCCTCTTCTAAAAGTACTTACTTACTTACTAGCCAACGCTCACCCTTGGCATGTTAGCCATTTGGTGGCGCCCTGACCAGTATAGACGAGCCGTTTCTCGTAGGCGATCTTCATTCTCCTCGGGTGGGTCTGTTATCAGGGCTGGGCACACTGGAAGGTGAGCAGCATCCATCTGGGGCTGATCACATAGTGGACAGTTGTCATTTTCGCAGACGCCGATGCGATGTAAATGTGAAGCCAGGTAGTCATGCCCCATAGTTGTTCTGAACACGGCTACACTAATGGGTCACGGCAAGTTGCGAGGGATTGGTGACTCTATTAGGTGGGCCCAAGATTTTCCAGCACCGGCTTGTATTTGCTGCTCTTTTATCTTCGCTTTGATTCCTCCTCTAATGGTGGACTTTGCTGATGTGTACGATTGGAAGCTAGGGGGCTGTGGAAGAGTAGTGCCTTCTTTTGCAAGTTCATCTGCCGCTTCATTCCCTTCAACACTGACATGACTAGGGATCCATTGTAGAGTAATCAGCCATCCTTTTTCCATCAAGTTCGATAGTTGGACGCGGCAAGATATTGTTTTGGCACAGTCGGTGTATCGATTTGTCGACAGGGCGAGGATTGCGGCTTGGCAGTCGATAAAGAAGGCAACTTTTTGGGGGTGTTGGAATTTCTCAAGATTTTTTGCAGCTTCGTGTATAGTAGCAATTTCGCCGTCGTAGTTGGTGAGAGGGGCACCCACAGCTATAGAGCCTTTAAAGAACGTTGAGATATATCCTGCTCCTGTTCTTCCCGAGTTCGGCATCGAGGATCCATCGCAGTAGATGTGGAGCCACTCATGTGCTGGGTACTTGGTGTGTATCGTCTCTAGGGCGGCTTTTCTTAGGGCAATGTCTGACGATAAGTGCTTCGGGTCATTATGGTTTTCAAGCAGTAATTCTGTGTTTGGTAGACAGCGGGCCAGTGTGGTTTGCGCTGGGAAGGGGCGGCTTTCGACAGGACAATGTGGTATTTTTCCATGATTTGCTTTGCTACTGTAAGCGGAGTGGTTTGTGTTTTAAAACGTGAGCCTGCTTGTCTATACTCATCCCATTTTTGTGGAAGTATTCGTCTTTACCTTTCCCAGAAGGTTAACGCGTGTTGCTCTCTGCGGCATTGTATTGGTTCAATACCGGTCTGAACTTCCATTGATGTATCGGTGTTGATTTTGGAGCACCGGTGATGATGCGAAGGGCAGTGTTCTGGGCGACTTCAAGCTTGGAGGTGGTGTTTGTACTCGCAGTTATTGTAGCTTCACTCCCATATTCTAATATCGGCCGGACATATGTTGCTACCAGGACATCTTGCGTGGCGCCCCACTTTGTTGCTGTGAGACGTTTAAGCAGTCGGGATCTCTTTGTGGCTTTCTTTGCAATGTCATCGATTTGAGGTTTCCACGTAATTTTCTTATCTATGTACACCCCCAAGTATTTTGTTACATCCTGTCTTTCCAGATCAACTCCTTTATACGACAGCTTGACAGCAGTCTGTTTTGTTGAAAGGCTAATTACTTGATATACGGTTTTGGTTGTACTGACTGTTAGGCAGTTTATATCCGCCCATTCCTCTAGATTTTTTAGAGCCTGGTTCATTACTCCCTCGAGCGCCCTCAGACTGCTACTTGATGCCCATATTAGGAGGTCATCAGCATACAGGAGGGCTTCCCCACCCCAGGTGTCTTTCTAATCATTGCGAGCACTTCGTCTATCATTAAGTTGAACAATTGACAGCTGATGACAGCTCCTTGTGGCAGCCCTTGTCTTTGCAGTCTAAATTTGGAACAGTGGTTGTGAAATTTGACTCTCTGACACCTTTCCCCGAGAAAGGATTTTATCCAATTGAATAGTTTGCCGTCAACTCCAGACTTCGCTATCTTGTGTAACAGCAAACCTCTCCATACTGTGTCGTATGCAGCTTTGAGGTCTACTAGCACTGCTACTGTTGACATCTTACGGTGGAAAGCATCCTTGACTTTTTGTGCGAAATCGACTACATGGTCCATGGTGTTCCTGTGTTTCCTGAAGCCAGCTTGAGCGTCGTCAATCAGTTCAAGATGGGTTAAGGCTCGGTTTAGTCTGCCCAGAAACATTTTTTTGGCTACTTTGCATAAGGAGCTTGTGAGGGATATTGACCAGTAACTATCAGTCAAACTCGGGTCTTTTCCTTTCTTTAAGGTGGGTATGATCTCGCTCTTCCTCTATTGACTTAAGACTCTTGAATTCCATGTTAGGTTAATTAAATTCAGAATGGTGCCTTTGGCTGCGGCTCTCAGATATTTAAGCATTTCCTGGTACAACTCGTCAATCCCTGCTGCCTTTTTCGTTTTTGTGTCAGAGAGAGCCGCTTCCAGCTCCAACATTGAGAAATATTCTGAACAGATGTCGTTTATACTTTTGCTTATCCGCCGGGGAGGGGGATAGTGCAATAGTCTTTCTCTCTCCCTCTTATTTATTTTAATATTACTCACTTTAGTGTAGTGCTTACATAGCTCGTTTGCTATATCGGCATGTGTAGTGAGTTCTCTAGCCATGCCTCTCATTGGTATTTGCTGTTGCTTATTTCCATCATTGTTTAGCTCAGTAACGAACCTGTGCACTTTGACGCCGTCTTTTTGGAAATCGAGCTTAGCAAAAAGGGATTTGAAAGCTTCTCTTTTCCCTGACTTAATGGCTTGAGTTAGGACCGCTTGCCTCTTGCTCTAAACAATCGTTCATTTGCCTGGATTTTTCATCTTTTCCCCTGGCTTTATTTCTGGCAGCTTTTGCACATTTAAGTATGGCCTCACTTACTTTCTTTGCTGCTTCTTCTGGTTCTTGTAATGTTAGTTGAGTCAGGACTTCATTTGTGCATTCCCTGTACTTTTTCCAATCCGCGCGGGGCGCGATTTTGGGCTTTTTTGTCCTTTGCCAGTTTGCACTAGAAGAGCGCGGTGACCACAGCCTGCTGCGTCATCCAGGAGGGTTACAATAATCTTACCTGTAATGTGTGGGTGCGTTACGACAAGATCGGGCCTTGTTTAACTTCCTATAAACGATAAGAACGTAGGTGGGGTGTTCACTACATCGAGATAGTTGATATCCAGAAAGTCCTAGAGGTTTTTCCCAACGTTGGTGGTTCCCCCCTCTTCTAAAAGTGATAATATTATTCTACTCATAGTTGAAGGGGGCTCTATTTTTTTTGGTGATGAACAAAAAAAGTAATATTTTATGAGGTTTTTCTAGAAGGCCTTCTTTCAAACATCAGGTAATTACTAGGTTTATTTGATATCTGCAAATAAACTATAAATTGATCGTACATCAAAGTTCATCTGTATTAATTTTTATTATGAATATATTAAAAATATGTTTTTTTTTATTGTAGAATGGTAGGAAAAGGGCGTTTCAAATTGGCCGCCGATTAAGAAAACGGTACAGACAATTTCTGGGAGATGTATTTTATCCAGAAATGGTAGAAGCTCAAAGTACAAATATGAATCGAACAAAAATGACATTAGAGTTGGTACTAGCTGGTCTATTCCCTCCCAACAAGGATGACGAAATAAGTAGGGATCTTCGGGGTTGGCAACCTATTCCGTTCAATTATTTGCCTTTATCACAGGACCCGGTAAGCTTTTGTTACTAATATATAATTAGTTATTAATAATAAAACACAATGTTTTTATAAGCTTATTTTTCCTATTACTCTATATAGAAGCATTAGTTTTGATTCTTCTTTCAATGCTGTTCATGTTTTAGCTTAGCTACTAACTTGGCTCCAAACTACGAATGAATCATGGGTATTTCTTCCTGTTATTATTTTTATCTATTTTAAAATATCAAGAACAGTTAAATGAATTTTATCCATATCGATCGTGTTTTCATGTATTTTACTTCAATTTATATAAAAAATATGCAAAAACTTTACCAGTTACATAAAATATGATAAATGTGAAAAATATGCAAAAATTGTAAAATATGCAAAATATGTAAAACATGCAAATTATGCAAAATATGCCAGATGTGCATATTAATATAAATATAAATATTATAAATATTTAACTATTTTTTGCTTTTAGTTTTGGAATAATGACTAATAAGATCTTTTTTAGGCACTAATGGGATATTTCTGTCCTAAGTTCAAAACAGAATACAAAAAAGTATTACAATCACCAAACAACAAGTTGGTATTTCGCAGAAACAAGAAGATCTTCAAATATATTTCTGATAACACTGGCGTAAACGTAACCGACTTTGAAGCCGTCAACCGCGTATATTTAGGTTTCCAAGCAAAAGAAGATTTAGGTCTAAAACTTCCAGATTGGACAAAGAGCATATATCCTGAACCCATGGATGAGCTGTCAGCCAAATATTACTACCAACTGACGGGAAACACTGAATTAAAGAAGATGTTTGCTGGAAATTTCCTACAACAAGTCCTCGAAAATATCAAAAGGAAAATGGCTGCCAACGATGGTAAGTTTGGAAAGAAGATCTACCTGTACTCGGCTCACGAATTCAATGTAGCTGCCTTGTTGGCATCTCTTGGAGTTTACAACAATCATACGCCCAATTATGGATCTTATGTTTTAATTGAACTTCATGTTAAAGGGGGAGTGCCTGGAATAAAACTCTTTTGGGATAACTGGGATGGTAAAGGACCCAGACTGTTAAAATTGTCTGGATGTCAAACTTTATGTCCATTAACGAAGTTTGTTGAATTGATTTCTAAAATATTACCAGAAGAAGGTAAAACTGAATGCAAGTAATTTTAAATATATTGTTGACAATATATTAAAAAAATAAAATAAGTCTTACATTAATGTTTTCAGTCTTTTTTTAATTAAAGGTATTCAACTGATATAGTTTTACTCCCACTCAAATGCGATAAACATTACATACTAATGTTCTATGTTCAAATTGCTGATAAAATCTGATAGTAATTAATAGTAAAACAGTAAAGAACCCACTGACTAAATCAAAACTGGAGACTAACTACAAAGATCTCAACAACCTGGCAAACGATAATAAAGTGCCTATAATATGGATACTGAGGCATTAAGTCGTGCAGGGGAATAAACCATCAGATTTTTTTGCAAATCAAGGCTCAAGACAAACCGTTAGGAACAGTACCATTTTGTGGCAATACCGAAGATGCGACAAACGCAAGTTAAGAAGTGGTTGATCAGGAATCATCAAAGGAAATAAAGAGCCACTAAAGGGTTAAGAAGCAGACTTAGAAAATAAACAAGAATATTAATACACATCTCTTGGACTACTTGGTCAAACTCAACAAATGAGAGTTTAAAATGGTTACCCGAATGGCAACTGAACATTATCCTTTAAGGAAAACATATATAAATTCAGTAAGGTGAGTAAACTATGGTGCAGAAAATGGGAAATAAACGAAAATACTGCTGTACACAGCAGATGCCAATGCAATGCGCTAAGAGATATGAAGCAGGGATTTGCTGATTAACTAAGGATTAAACACAGGACTTATTAGAGTGTAATAAAAAATAAGGTATTGTACAAAGGTCTTACAACTAAACTTTAATGGAGATATTCAAGTTGGAAATGAAAGATATTGTGGAGATCACAATAAAATATTTAAAATACAATAGTCAGAAGTTGAATTTATTTTATCTTGATTGAAATATTTAGAAATACATTAACTTTATAAGATATCTTCCGATGCAGACATAAACTTGGATTATAATCCAGAAACAAACAATTTTTTGGGCTGAAAACAATTAGTTTTTTCGTATAAATATCATAAGTACAATATAAATATCTAAGGCTTGCCACTTGTATTGATATGTGTTTCACTTTTGATTTATAGCGGATGGTTCCAATCATTATTTTTTCTCTTTATTAGTTAAAGGTTTAGGACTTATCTGGATAAATGTTTTGTTTTGCTAATTTTTCACAATGGCCTTTGTAAACGTCTAGGTTTAAGCGTTATATGTGAGGATAGGAAGTATTATTGTCAAGGTTTTTTATTCCCGATAGAATGTTTTCCGCTCTTATTTAGAGCTTGCAGATTCGCGTATCGCGGTAAATCACGCCGTATTCTTCTTGTGAAATGTTAGAGTTTGTTCTTTGACTTGGCTTGCGCTACAATTTTCTTGCACTCATTTCGATATGTGCATAGGTCTCTTCAGTTTATCTCTTTCAGAATTTTGATCTCTCTCATGAGCTATTTCTGTTATATTCCTGTGGGTCTTTCCTTTGGTCTTTTAGTTTCTTACTTTTGTCTGATGACCTTCAATCAGAAGGTCGTTTTTCCTTCTCTCTATGTGTCCAAGCCATGTCAATCTCTGCGCTTGAGTAAATTGAACTATATCTTCTCCCTTCATTAGGACTTTTAGTTCATGGTTTATTTTGAAGTTAGTTACGCAAGTGCTACAAAAGTTCACTGAAAATAGACTGACTAGACCAAAAAGATTCTTAACTGTATTATAATCCATTTGGAGTTTTTATTTTAATTTTTTAATTTAATATGTCACTTGCAACACAAGTTTTTTACTTTGATCATCCACTTTTCTAACTAATATGGTATACAGCCATCTCCTGGGAATTATCCCATGTCAAGTGGCATTTATTTGTAGATTCTTGCTTACTAAATTTAAAGCAGTTTTGCTTCACAACGACAATAAATACCTATCTGCGCATGCCATTCAGATGAAGGAATCGTACGACCATTTGGTATATCTCCTAGAACAAATCCAGTGTAATGGCTATAAATTTATGAAGATCAAAAAGTGATTACACTTCTTAGACTTCAGCTCGGGTATACTAAATACTGCTGTTTTCTGTGTGAGTGGAACATATTATGCATAAGAATATTACTGTTTACAGAAGGAGTAGTCACTACGTTAAGCATTAACTCTGAATCTATAAAATATTACCAACTAACCATTGGTTGACCCCAAAAAATAATTCTTCTAGCACTACATATAAAATTGGGCTAAAGGAAAAATTTTGTTAAAGCACTAGATCGCAAAGGACGAGAGTCTTTGTCTTGGCAATGTCAAAGCTGACAATTACAAGGATACAAGGATACAATTACCTAGTATCTAGAGAGAAATAGTAGTAGCGTATAGGGCACTTGAGTAAGGTGGTCAAAGTCCTAATCTGAAGTCACTGGCGCCAATGTCAATAACCGTTGGATCTGAATTATCGACCAAGCTTAGTCAAAATATGAATCTAAGCGAAGACCGGAACAATTTGTTAACTAACAGCTGATGTATAACAGATGTGCAGGTAAAAATCTTGGTATACATTCTTCTTTAGGTACCGCTTCCTCTAAGGAGGTTGGTAATTATCACAGCTGTTTTCACTTTTGAGATTGCAGCTCTTAACAAGTATATGGAACTGCAATTATACCACTTTCTCAAATTGTTCAGCCAGGAGATGTATCTTCCTCCAATATTTCGTTTTCCATGTATTTTTTACTGAATTATGGTTTGTAGCAACACATATTTATTCCCTCTCATAACGTGGCTGAGATATTGTAACTATCTCATCTTAATCGTATTCATGATTTCCATTTCGTTTGTCATCTTCCTGAGGACCTCAACATTTATTATTTGAACTTTGAGGGTATGCAAGGCAACTATCGAACACGGTGATTAATTTAATCTTGCCCAAGTACTTTCAATCAATAGATCATCTTCAGGGGCATCTGAAATAAGCCAAGAAACGTTTTTTATAAACAGGAAAATTAATTCACTTGGATAAAAAACTCCAAGTTTATGGTTGAAAAAAATTTTTATATGTGATAAACGTTTATAGACTTACTTCGTCAATTGTGGACTATCCGACATAGTAGAATGTCATAAATTTAAAACTGGACATAACAATACAAAATACACTACACTAAGACAAACAAACACTTTAAAATTTATATGGCGAAGCTACATATTGTGAAGAAGCCGGAGACAGAATGGGCTCCCGGTCTGACGGAAATGTAGAGATGACATGTGACAAATGACAGCTTATGAAGGGCAGTTATGTGATCTGCACCTTTCAAAATTCTATGACACTAAGTATTGACCAAAGGTCCAACTGACACCACTATAGGAAATCGACTGATGAAATATAAAATTATATAGTATATTTTTTTATGTGGATTGAATAATTCCAATCTCACACTCAAACCTGTCTATAATAATTAGGATGTTGGTTTGAGAGCAATTGAAGTTGACATAAAGTATGAATGTGAGAAAAGACTAACAATATATTAGACAGTGGATGGTTGACTACAATAAAATGGTCCACCAAGCGCTATCAGTACTGTAAAAAAGAAAAATCTGAATATGCAGTTAAATTACTAAAAGTTAAAATCAAAATTGAAGACAAAATATATAAATGTGTTATAGTCCACGTAGTTCAGTTGAATCCACAGTCAATGGAAGAACTTTAAAATTAATATTGAAATATTCAGTGCATGAAGTCTAAAAAACGTTTCTTGGCTTATTTCAGATGCCCCTGAAGATGATCTATTGATTGAAAGTACTTGGGCAAGATTAAATTAATCACCGTGTTCGATAGTTGCCTTGTATACCCTCAAAGTTTAATTATTCGAACATTCAACCTTATATTGATTTATTATTTGGTCTACCCAACTTATTTTTAATATTCTTCGGTAGGTCCATATCTCGAATGTTTCAAGTCGGTCAAGCAAGTCCTCGGTATACAAGGAGTAGTCAAAAAAGTTTTACTAAAATGTTCTAGCCATGAAGAGTGTTACCGAGGTAAGTAGAGTCCTAGGCTGCTGGCCGATTACTGATTGACATTAATCCGTGATGCTTTATAATATTTTAAGGCAAGCGCACCGCTAAGAATCCTATATGAAAACTGATATATTCTCTTACAATGCACAATTTTTCGTAGCAAATAAGGTGTGTAGAGAAAGCTCAAGTTTATTATTTATGTCACAAAGAAAAATTGATTTTTGTAACCAGTGATTACTCAGTGATGCAGCAAATTTTTGGAAAACACCAGTTAACATAATATATGTGAGGTCTGTCTAAAAAAATAAAAAGCAAATTCTTTTTACTATGACAAATATCAAGAACCGTGAAGAGTAGGGGAGACCCGAGTGAGTTGTTAGAATTTTTAAATTTTATTTTTTTGTGCATTCAATATGTAAAAAACCTCGTCTGTGGCTCAGTGGTAAGAGCGCCTACCTTTAAACTTAAAGGTCGTGAGTTCGAATCTCACCTGGGTGGAGAAATTTTCGTTTATTAAAAATTAATGAATGAAAATAATTTCTATCCTTGTGCGATAGGTACTCACCGGAGAGACCGCAGACGTTCGGATACAATTAGCGTCTCTTAGCAAAGACAGTGACGTCGACTTTGCTAAGTATCAAGACAATTACTCTACACACACATACACTACACTAGTTACCTGACTGTACCATGACAATTATCATTAGTTGTCGAGGCATTAACTTAATAAAAAAAATATGTAAAATATACACCTCATAGAAATTGGTGTAAGGAGCATTCACTTCGAAATAATTATTTTAAATAGTAGATTTATAAGAAAGTTGCCACTTTTAGGAAAAAAATATATTTGTATTTGCAAATTGTATCAAATTACCCCCCAATTGGTAAGTTATTACATGACAGGAGCAAATTGTTACACTAGTAATTTTCGTACTTTTCAAAGATATTTTAATTTTCCTAATAAAAAACTTTTAATGAAGTTTATTTATTTATTTTTTATTAAAATACAAACTATTGTGCAACATTTTTAA